AAAATCCTTATTTTTTCACAGTTAGCATCAAGATCTGAATAACATACAGGTTTTTTAAAAGCTCTGTTTATCCCATGAATTCTTGTTTGGTGGAATCCTGAAATTGGAGTTGACTGTGAACATGGAACAAAGTCTTGACTATTTTCAACATTATATTCTGAATCTGATTGAAATTGAGGTGTTGGAGAGCATGTTCTTGAACGCCTAGAGGCAGAAATGCTTTGCGAGGATAATTTTTGTGAAGGCTGGATGAAGTCTTCAGAAAGTGATCTCAGTGAAAAATCAGACTCCGAAGGATGACTTTCTGCCAAAGACGTTCCCTGTTGTAACAAAATTTCCTGTGATTTTTTGGTAATCTCTGTTGCAATGTCCATTTCTTTAGCAATATCATCAAAGAGATCAGCAGAGGCATCATAGCTACCTTCATAACCAATAGAATAGCTCTGCGTTAAGTTGTTATTGATATGCCCCCAAGGCATTTCTTTCAATGTATTTGTACTTCTATTTGGACTATTGCAAAGAGTTTCTAAAGGATATGTAAGTTTCCTGCAAATTGTAAAACTGTCATCTTGGTTCTTGGACCACCTATAATATTGTTTATTTTCTAATTTGCAAAGATCAGAGACATCATTGTACTTCCTAGAACATAGAGTTGTCAACTTTTCATTCATTACTGAAAGTGATTTTTCTCCACATCCATTCAAATATTTGTTATTTAGACTAAAATGGTCACTCTCTGAAGTACTGGGCCTAAACAGAATTTCATCCCTGGGTGGTGAGATTCTGATAGTCTTCTTAAGAGTAACTATTGTTTCTGAATCTTTTGAAGATGAAAACAGAGCTGACAGGTAAGGATTTGGTAGAAAATACTCTGACATACCTCTTCCACTATGATTTACAGAGACAGCCTCTACTTTGTTATCTGGTTGTGACTCCTTTTCAACACTAGGACTTAGATTTACTTTACAGTTGAAAAGGAAGTCATCTTTGCTACAGTTTGCTTTGACTATTGCTTGTGATGATCTTAAAGCTATAGGTGGTGTATGCAGGGCTCCAGTAGTTCTCTGGGGAGTCACAGATAACCTGCTGTGGTCTGCATGAAATGTATCAATGTCGTTATCTACATGATGCTTCCTACTACTGACATCTGCCTGGGTTATAGCAATCTCACTTTCAAGAACCGCCAGAAACTTGTTCAAGCTTTCAGAGAATGGCAGATCATCCCAAATTTGAGGGTCGCCATCCTGGGAATTGCTGGCTGTCACTTCAAGTCTGACTAACGAAGGTGGACAACATGTAGACCTCTTTTGAAGGCTAGTGGGGGTATCTATACCATGATGCTGGAAACATGGTGGCTCATGCTGGGACCTATTTTTAATTTCCACTGCACTGTGGAAGGATTTTGTATTACTTGACTCAAGGGGCTCTCGCATTTCCAAAGAGAATAAATTAGAGTCATTAACTCCAATTTCATGATGACTGCTGTGAACTGCACTCAGCTCCTTAGCTTGTAAGCCAAGTTCTTTACCCAACTTTTCTGCTGTACTCTTTTTATCCATATATGAAACAAGGCTCCATGAATGCTGAATGGGATCATGGCAGCTACTGGAACCAGTGGCCTCTGCAATGGAGATGGAATTTCTGTTCTGCTGAAGAGTACCAAAGGCCTTACTTTGTTCTGAAGCTGAAAAATCATCATTATCTGTTAGCTTTGAAACAATGGAAGTGAACTCAAGTGATGGCTGCCAGAATTTTGAAAAAGTATCCTTGCTGCAGAACTTGAAAAAATAAGAAGTGCTGTCAGAAGTATATATGCTGCTGAGATCACTATTTGAGTGATCTAAAGAAAGTAAGTGATTGTTAGGTGCGTGAGAGTCACACTGAAGTTTCCTGAAATTAAAAGTCTGCAAAAGTTGACAGAAGTAGTCAATGACAGTAAAGCCTGCAACACCTGGGTCCGGTAGAACAATCTGGCAAGCCACTAGTGATCTGGCTTTTCTTTTGTGGTCAGAGCATTGCTGTAAGAAGTTACTGGCATCTGCACCTTGTCCAGGGTGGCTTTCAAAATTCTGTGAAAGAAGTAAAGAAATTTAAGTAAGAATAAAATTGTCTTCCTTTTACTTAAAACATGAAACAGAGATTTAGCCAGGCACAGTGGCTCATGCCTGTAATCCCAGCACTTTGAGAGGCCGAGGTAGGCAGATCACTTGAGCCTTAGGAATTTGAGACCAGACTGGGCAACATGGTAAAACCCCGTCTCCACAAAAAAATACCCCCACAAAAATTAGCTGGGCATAGTGGTATATGCCATGCTACTCAGGAGGCGGAGGTGGCAGGATCTCCAGAGCCTAGGGAGGTCAAGGCTGCAGTGAGCCATGATCTTGCTACTGCACTCCACCCTGGGTGACAGAGTGCGACCTTGTCTCAAAAATAAAATAAACAAACAGATTTAAAAGGTTAAAACAGACACAACTACTACCCCCACCCCCCAATTCCAATTCTGATTCTGTTAGAGTTATAGGCAAAGTAGCGTATATAAGAGAATATAAACCTTAGAGTAAAGAGCTTGTTTACACTGATTTGAAGAAATCCTAGTTCCAGCATTTACTTATAGTGTTGAGACTGGACAATTTATTTAACCTCTCGAGGTCTTAGTTTTCTCATTTATAAAATAAAAATAAAAATGCAGATTACTGTTTAGTAATAAAATGGAAAACTGCACAGTGCCTAGAAAATAGTAGTGGCTCAATAAATGGCAACGATCATAGTTCTCATTAAATAAGGAAAGAGAGGAAGGGAGAGGAGGGGAAAAAAGGGGAGGGGGAAGAAGAAGAGAGGAGAGAAAAGGATTGTCTATGATTTTCACAAAGTAAAGCTCTGTAGCCGCTGATTCTACTTTCCCTTTGGATTTTTCTCACTCTTCTGTTGTGGAGTGCTCTATTTCCTCTTTTAAAACCCTGATTTCAGTGTGAAAAAAGTATCTCTTTGTTCCCTTTAGCATAGATGAGACAGAAAACTATTACTCCTTCAAAGTCAATACATTTTTTAACTTCTTCTACAGTCACTTTTATAATTATTTAAGACCATATTTCTTAATCTAGTTTTAGTATTCTTATCAATACTCACATACTTTGCCTTCAGTGTTCCATTATTCTCTTTTTATAGATGACAGAATTAAAAAGCTAGAGAATCAATGGAAGTTTTACTATATAATTTGAACAAAATCTGGAGGGCAAAATAAATACTAACAACCAAAAACAAATATCTGACATTTCTAAATATATAATAAATGTATATTTTTAAGCTCTGAAAGCACTTGAAGTAGGCTCCCCTGACTTTTGAAAGAGGAAGTTGTTACACATGGTGTTTTAACAGACCACCTATAGGCTATTTTTAAGTAGTTTAAAGTGTTTCCACAGGCCTTCACATTTATAGAACTCCTAACAACTATTTAGAAAATTCACATAATTCATTACAATGGAAATGTTAACAGATTATTAAAAAGAAAGTCTCAATTACCGTCACTCCAAAAATAAAGCTTTGTCCAACAAAGCAAGTTTCAACTGCTTTAGTTAATAGATTCTGAGTTGTATCATTGTCGAGTGTTTCTGGAATTTTATTAGGATCCTGAATGTACCTTGATTGGAAAAAAAAAAAATGTGAAGGAATAAACTTTGAAATTTTAACTTGCCATAAAGTCAGAGACACAATTAATTTGAAAATGCAGCATGAATCTTTTATAGAGGAAAAAAAGTGACTTTAAGAAGCCAGGCAGTTTGTTCTCTCTAGTTTCTCACAGCACAGAAAAACCAACAAAACCAATTGATCAAGTGTGAGTAAAGTGGTTACCTAACCATCAGGCCCGGCAATAATTACAGGGAAAAATAAAAGTGGCAGTGCGAATAGTGGTGGGATCTCTAGTCCTTCACTTCAAAGCAGGAAAAAGTCTTTCCTTTTCTCTGATAATCCTGGTTGTGGTCCCTTTATTGTCTCAAGCACAAAAACGTGGACATAGATTTCTTGTAAGTGATTAGGGGAGGAGGGCAGAAGATTGAAGGGGAAGAAAAGCTTTAATTGTTTTTCCTTATATTCTCAGGACAATGTCATAAAAAGTCAAACTATGCAAATAAAGTTGCAATACAGATAAAAAAATAACAAAACAATTTCTGATATGCAAATATTCCCTCAAATAGATTCTCCTGCCTTAGGGGGAACTTAACTGTTTGAATGCTAACCTCAATTTGGATAATTCTTCAATTTGAAATTATGTTACTTTCTTAGCCTCTATTTTTGTAACTTGGATTAGAGATTTATAATTTAATATTCTAATTACAGATTAATTACCCTAAATAAAAGGAGACTGTTTTAACATCATCATAATATGTATTCAGGAAATAAACATCTTTCTAACTTGCTTGTTCTTTAAAGGAATTGACGATCTGGGGTTGAATGATCATCTTTTTACAAAAATGCATATTGCCTTATAAACTTGTACCTTCAAATTCTAAGGGCAGTGAGGAAAAAAGGATGTTTTAAGTATTCTTACCTGTGCAAACCAGTGGCAGTAAGACCAAAAAATGTATCTAAGCAACTTCCAAATACAGTAATAACAAACAATTTGTTTGATTCTGCAACTTTTAAGGAAAGTTTGTATCTGTAATTGGCATTTCCAGATTCACCAGTACAGCCACATTTCGGACAATTAGACCTAGAAAAGTGGTGGAAAAAAGTGTGGAGATGTTCATTAAATGTTTTTCATATGATGAAAACTCCAGAAGAGTAAAAATTTAAAATAACATTTTGTGTATAAATGCTTCTACATTCATACAACTCAAATTCTTCTTAAACTCTTTCAGATCAACTTCTTTTAAATTTCTCTATTCAGAATAGTCAGCTTTACTGACTTAAATTAAATAGCCCCAAGTTGATAGAAATACATACCAAATTGATAGAAAACTAAAGGAGAACTGTACGTGAAAGAGAGGACAAAAAGGCCGGGCGCGGTGGCTCATGCCTGTAATTCCAGCACTTTGGGAGGCCGAGGCAGGTGGATCATGAAGTCAGGAGATTTAGACCATCCTGGCTAACACGGTAAAACCCCGTCTCTACTAAAAATACAAAAAAATTAGCCAGGCGTGGTGGTGGGCGGCTGTAATCCCAGCTACTCAGGAGGCTGAGGCAGAAGAATGATGTGAACCCGGGAGGCGGATCTTGTAGTGAGCCAAGATGGCACCACTGCACTCCAGCCTGGGGGACAGAGTTACACTCCGTCTCAAAAAAAAAAAAAAAAAAAAAAAAAAAGAGAGAAGACAAACAATAAATAATCTCAAAATATTTAATACCTATTTATACACAAAGCACTTAATTGCATTTTTCTCACCATAATGAAAATTACTTTCTTTAATTCATTAGAATATGTTGATAATTTACCAGATTATAAAACTGGATATGAAAACCATGTAATTTAACTTGTTTTTTAAAGACAATATGTAATGATGGCTAAAGGCTTTCTAGTAGAAGAAGTACACATCTACATGGCAGTGTAACTCTATTGCCATGTACTCATTGTCTGACAGTTATTAAATTCTTGAGTTCCTCATCTATGAAGTCCAGGGCAGAAGAAGGATTAAAATAGACAAATAAAGGATCTAGTGCAAATACTGTGAAATTAGTGTTAGTCTGCTTTGCCCTCATAATTATATTAAGTATTGTGATAATTACTGTCACTTGTACTGCTTCTTCTTTTCTAGTTTGCAATGTATTATAACTCTGATTTCTATCTTTCATGTTAATTTCCACCCCCTCAGTTATGTTAACTTTATTTAATAGACAGAATAGTCTAAAAATTTTTTTTGAAATACAACAAGCACCTAAAAACATTTTACGGTAATGGCTAATACTAGAATTTTGTTTTTTCTTCAGGTTGCTAAAGATCTTAAAAAAGAGTGGCAAAAGGCAAACAGAAAGCAAGGTGAAAGATGGTTGTATAAATTTGATTGTTGTCAGATAGCCACTAGGGGGAGTCTAAAATCTGTAGCTCTCAAAGTGACTCACCTTTATTAGATCTGTGCTATGATTCTTCTGCCATACTGAGGATGGATCTATACCAACCCATTCATATAATCCTACACAAATCTGCTGGAGTTTGTGCTGCAGGTTAGCCATAGAATGAATTAAAAGTAATTGACTCACTAGGGGATAAAACTCCATTAGTACCAAACTCTAGTGAAATGAACTGTTTAAAATATTTATTGGAATTTCTTTAAAGGCTATGCAATAATAACACATACATGTCTAATGTAAAATTCCTAGCAAAACTTAGACTAATTAATATGCATTAGCATTAAGTTTACAAATGTTTTCAACATGCATTATTTCATTTTTATAGGTAAAATTTACAAATGGAGAAATTAGTTTGAATTTTTATCTAAGATGACAAAGTTGGTAAATATATGACCCAAACCCAAGGCTGCGAACTCGTATCATGAAGTTCTGATATTATGATATGGTAACAGTGGGACCAAATGGTTAAAATAAAGAATCGCTTGCAATGACAATATCAATAATAGCCTCAAAAAACTATGTCTGTTAGTGTTAATGCATTTACATATTAAACTATATATGTTTTTATAAAGTACATATGTATAATGAAGATATTTATTTATATAGTTTGCTTTAATCCTTTTAGGAACGATGCTGGATTGAAATAAATGTTAGTGTTGTATAATATGGATCAGAGCTTCTCAAACATTAATATGTATACAAATCATCCAGAGATCCTATTAAAATGAAGATTCTGATTCAGGAAGTCTGGGATGAGGCCCAAGATCCTGCATTTTTAATAAGCTCCCAGGTGATGCTGATGCAGATGTACCTTAGGCCATACTTCGAGAAACAAGGACATAGACAACATATTCACATCACTGTCCCCTAATTTAACTTCCAGAGGCACCCCTATTTCTAAAATGTCATTTGATGCAGAATAGCAGTTTTCAAACTTTTTGATTTCGCACTCCTTTATACTCTTAAAACATTATTGAGAATATCAAAGAGCTTTTGTTTATGTGAATAGTATCTATCTTTTTTTATTCAAAAATATTTACTTGGGCCAGGTGTGATGGCTCACACCTGTAATCCCAGCACTTTGGGAGGCTGTGGCGGGCAGACCGCTCAAGCTCAGGAGCTCGAGTCCAGTCTGGGAAACATGGCAAAACTGCATCTCTACAAAAAATACAAAAATTAACGAGCGTGGTGGCATGCGCCTGTAGCCCCAGCTACTTGGGAAGCTGGGGTGAGAGAACTGCTTGAGCTCAGGAGGCAGAGGTTGTGGTGAGCTGAGATTGTGCCACTTAACTCCAGTCTGGAGGTGACAGAGTCAGACCTTGTCTCAAAAAAATAAAATAAAATAAAATAAAATAATTTACTTGCCAAAGATTGAATATATTCAAGGTATACAACATGATGATTTGAAATACATATACACTGTATAATGATTACCATAGTCAATTTTTTTTTTTTTTTGAGACAGAGTCTTGCTATTGGTCAGGCTGGAGTGCAGTGGTGCGATCTCAGCTCACTGCAGCCTCTGCCTCTTGGGTTCAAGTGATTCTCCTGCCTCAGCCTCCTGAGTAGCTGAGACTAGAGGTGCCCGCCAGCACACCCAGCTAATTTTTTTGTATTTTTAGTAGACAGGGTTTCACTGTGTTAGCCAGGATGGTCTCACTCTCCTGACCTCATGATCCGCCTGCCTCAGCCTCCCAAAGTGCTGGGATTACAGGCGTTAGCCACTGCACCCGGCTACTATAGTCAAATTATTTAACACATCATGCATTACCACTCATGCTGTACATTAGATCCACAGAACTTGTTCTTCTTGTATCTGTCTATATTTCTTTTTTGGTTTGTTTTGAGACAGGGTCTCACTCTGCTGCCCAGGCTGGAGTGCAGTGGTACTATCATGACTTACTGTAACCTCAAACTCCTGGGCTCAAGAGATCCTCCTGCCTCAGCCTTCTGAGTAGCTGGGACCACAGGTACATGCCACCATGTGTGGCTAATTTAAAATTTTTTTTAGAGGGGGGGCTCTCACTGTGTTGCCCAGACTACTCTTGAACTCCTAGGCTTAAGTGATTCTCTTGTATCAGCCTCCCAGAGTGTTGGGATTATAGGCGTGAGCCATCACACCTGGCCTCTATCTATATTTCTCATGAAATGAGAAATTAAATGAAAGTGAGAAATTAAAACCGAGAAATCAAAAAAATATTAATTCATTAAAAATAGACCCATTACACGGTTAACACAAAAACATACTTTTATGAAAAAGTTACGTTTTTCAAATTTTAAAAATTAGTAAGAAGAGACCAGCATTGTTTCACATTTTGCAAATCTCTTCAATGTCTGGTTTCATAAAAAGACAGCTGGATTCTCATATCTGCTTCTCTGCTCAATCTGTTGCGATAGTACATGTTGTGTAGCCTCTGGGAAACTCCATTATGCACTCATGAGAGACTGAGAGTGAAAAGGCAAATAATGCCTTAGAATTATGAAAACAGATTTAAGTTCAAGGAGCCTCTGAAAGGATCTATCTGAAATAATGGCTATAATTTGCTATCTTTTTTGTTTGATCCCAGTTAAAACACCGAGTTTCATTTGTTTATTTTTTATTTTTATTCATTTTTTTTTTGAGACAGGGTCTTGCTTTGTTGCCCAGGCTGGAGTGCAATGGTATGATCTCAGCTCACTGCAGCCTTGACCCCTCAGGCTCAAGTGATCCTCCCACCTCAGAATCCTGAGCAGCTGGAACTACAGGCACATGCCATGACGCCTGGCTAATTTTGTTTATTTTTGGTAGAGGATAGGTCTCACTATGTTGCCTAGGCTGGTCTCAAAATCCTGGACTCAAGCCTATCTTGGCGTCCCAAAGTGCTGGGATTACAGGTGTGAGACACTGAGCCCAGCCTAATTTTAATTTTTTTTTTTTTTTTGTAGAGACGGGGTCTCACTACATTGCCCAGACTGGTCTCAAACTCCTGGTCAAGCAATGCTCCCACCTTGGCCTCCCAAATGCTGGGATTACAGGCATGAGCTACTACGCCCAGCCTGATTTATTTTTCTAGTGTCCTGATATTTAGCCCAGATGTAGAAGAACTGGATTAATGTTTTCTTAGTTTTGAAAACCTTAAAAAATCAGATGAAAGCAATGGACTCACTCTCTCCCCTCAAAAAACATATATGAACACAATATTCTACATATTTTAGGGACTGGAGGAGTCATACACACGTATAATGTATCCACAGATTCCAGTTTAAGTATATCCTGACTATATGATTATATAATATCTCTTTCCGAATTTATAGACCCAGATTAAATATACACAAAGTAATGAGACATATTTTAAAAAACATATCTCTTAATGCTTCCACATATCACTTCCCCCACAAAATAAGAAAACTATGATCTATATGTGTGAAATTAAATTTGACTTGCTTAAGTAAATGATATAAGCTCTTTGGGTACTTGGGAATGGGGGAGAGGATAGGTAGTCTCTGAGCGATGAGTCCTATTTTAAGACAGGAAAAGAAAGTTATTAGTGTTAGAGACAGATTTCTAGGCTAAAAGGGATTATGGGTCCCATTAGTCACCCAGAAGGGCAATTTCTATCTGTTTGGGCTGGATGGATAGCTTGTCTGGATAAATAAATCCCTTCT